TAGGGAAAAAAAAAAAAACAACCTTGGTCAGAAGAAAATTTCCCTTACGTTTTGTTAAGTAGTAATAAAGGCAAGACCCACGGAAGTATAAATTTGGGCCCAAACGGGTGGAAATTCCCTCAGTCTGCAGTTGTTTAGTCTTACCAATCATTTACAAATGTAGTTTTCCCTGTTTCTGCAAGATATAATTGGCTCCCTTCCTGAAAGCCCAGCGCCGGGGCATAAGCGATTGCATGAAACCTGCAGCTTTCAGAAAGAAAAACTCGTTCCTACAACTTGCTACTAGGAAAGCTCAAATCCAGAGCCACTCTAATGGCTCAAACACCACGAAGAAACATCACGTTCGTTTCCCCTTTTTATTTGTGTTTTTTCCCATTAGTCTCGTTTTTTTCCCATTAGTCTGGTTTCATTAGTCTCCCTGATTTCTAAGCTTTGAAAGATCCACTTTGGGAGGAATTCTGCAGATACTGTCGTAAGTAATCTTTACAAGGCCCCAAAGCTTCCAAGCCAATTCCTCCACACCTTCAGCAAAGTGCTTTGTTGGTGTCTTCTACCCTATTCGCCACGGTGTAGAGCAAAGGGAGGACCCCTGGAGAAGAAAGATGGTGAGATGAAGGACAACGCTGGCAAAAGAAACAGGGATAAATCACGTAGAAATAAACTCTGCCTAGAAATCAGAATCCTTCTATCAGAGCAGTGCAATGCTGGAGCAGCTTTTGGACAAGGTAATGGGAACAAAGGCAAAACCCAAGAGAAAATAACCAGTTGTCAAGTGGGTAAGCTTATGAATACAGTTTTAAAACACAGCTGCCTCCAAAATGACTGAGGAGGAACTTCCACGCTTGCAGAGTCAATCCAAGTTTATATAATCCTGCAGACTTTCACAGAAAACGTCCCTTAGCAGTTTCAGCAGCTCCTTCATCAGCCCCTCCCTCCAGCCCCGGGCAGACCGATCCCAGCTGGACACATCCAGGCTACGGAAGCAGCAATCCATCCCACTTACAGCAGCGCGCTGCGCGCCTCCTCTGGGACAGGCATTTAAGGCTAAGTAGCTTTCAGCTTCCTCCGTGCTTTTTTCTCCTCATTCAACTCCTACCTCTCTCCGTGAGAACAAAATAACTACCTGAAATTTTCAGTCAGTTTAAAAAAAAACCAAACCAAACGCAAACCAAACGCAACTTTTCAGCAATAACTAAATGTGACCAGGTTACCTAGCCAACATCATGCAGTCAGATTCTCCAGCACATAAACTTTAATCACAGCGTTGCATGCTCCCAAGCCTTAGTTCAATGCAAATATAAACATCAGTCATAAACCGCAGCTCAGCAATATGTGCTTCTCTGCGCCAGCATTTGCTCGTTTGCTTTACTGCTTATGTCCAAGTCTACCACCAACTTAAAATGTCAACATTAACTATCTGACTGCCGATAACTTCAGATGCAATGCAAAAGGAGGTGAACATAAATCCTTTTCGCAAAATGGAAACAGAACAGTAACGCAGAAGGAAGAAAACGGGGAAAGAAGACACTATTTAGAAAAAATAATCACAGTGATGACCATATGTTCCTACTGAACGATGAGTGTGACAGCAAGGCACCGAATAAATTAAAATAACTAAAATGTTAGTTAGGTTATGTTAGCAGGCAGACATCAAATCTGGTGGCTGTAAATTAATGGTAGAAAACCCAGTCTGGGGGGTTACGTTACAGTGAAGCTAATTAACCATTAAAGCAGTTTGCGTATGGACAGGACCGGCTCCCTTAGCTCTCTGTAGTGAATAGATTTATCTCCGCCAAAACGCCTCCGGCCGACGCACGGTTCATTTACAACGTCCTCTGCTCCGCGCTATGCAAGAGACCAGCTTGGACAACTCTGAAAGCCCCGTGGCAGGGAGTATGTACTCCAGATAATTAGGAGAACTAGGCTGTGAGGGTCTGATGAGACCCTTGTGTGGGAAAAGGAGTTTTCCTCGAGCTGCTGAGGGAGGACAGTGGAGGACGAGCCGCTCTGACAGCGAGAACGCAGGCGGAAGGGCCGTCTCTCCGGCCCTCGGCCCTCTGGCTTGCACCGGCTCTAGCGCTTCTGCAATAAGCGAGACTGGAAAGCCGACATGGATTAAAACGAACTCAGATGTTTTTTTTTTTTTATTAATCCAGGTCATTTTCCCACACTGGCTCCTCACGTAATCACTCGCAATGGCCAACAGATACGGTGGCACCAGGTTGGGAACCGCGGCGGAGACAGGCAGGAGCAAGCATTTCAGCAGCAGGGCCAGGTCCTGCTGTTTCTCGAAGTGCTTGTGAAACTTCCACCCAAGAGGCAAGTTAGGTGCTCACCACCACCAAACCGAACACATCCCCTCCTCTGACTTTGCCACCCTGACATGTGCTAATGCAAGCCATTACCTGTCTCTAAGCCAGACCAATGCAAATCAGCAAAGCAAAGACCAGGAAGACAGCAGCGGGCAGTTTTCTGTCAACCCAGGGAGCTGAAGCACCTTAGCACGGGACCAAGGTGAACGTCAGGCCCGGGGCAAGGAGGGGAGGGAGGACAGGCGCCCTTTCGACGGCAGCAGGCAGTCGCGTTAGCTCAGCCGTGCGCAACTTCGCCCTGCCCATAGGAAACAAAGGAGGACCAGGCTCAGAATCCCAACCTTTGTATGGCTAACGCCACACCCAGCACGGGCTGCACACAGGGAACAGCAAAAATCTGAGCAAGCTCCATCGGAGCTTGGTGCCTGTGGGCTTAGGAGTGCCTGGATCTTCTCTCAATCCGGCCTTTTATCCCATACTAAAAATCCCTGTCCTGACGGTCACTCCTGCCTGAGAGAGTACAAGCTGACTTTTGCCACCGTGTTTCTCAAACCCACCCCGAGGTACGGTTCCAAGGGACTCATTCCCACACTATTTTAACCCACTCTTTGCTTTTAATCTCTTCTCCAGAGCCCTGAGCACAACAGTGGCTCGCTGCCAGGCAAGGAAAAGCTGTCACTCCTGAATGGTGGGGACCACGCCAGTGCAATTACCAAAGCAGTACTACTGCCACATGCGTTTTTCTTCCGTGTGATTAAATTTGGGGAAAGACTTTCAGCTGGTGTGAACTGGTGCTGCTCAATGCAGCCTGCAGAGCCAGGTTTACGCTGGCTGAGCTTCCAGCCTTTCTTTGTGTTCATACAACAGTCAACAAGAGCAGAAAATACCCTTCACAACCACCTCCTGGGAGTACAAAAGCACTCAGGGCTACACCGAAGAGTTTCCTAAACTGAACTAGTCAGCCTCTGACACGTTATTGTGAAGGTGTAAAGAAACGCTTTTCTTTTAAATGACGCTAAATGCCAAAGTACGATAAAGACTTTGCTTAGAACTTGGAGATCTAACACACCTCACAAATGAAAACCCAGGCCTTTTGCTCTGCACAGCAAAATCCAGAGTGCTGGAGTCACTCGGAGTACCTCGGGGAAATTTTCTTTTGTGAAGGAAGATGGAGGGCAACTCTGCCATGAGCACAGGAGCTCGGGGGTGGTGGGAACTGAGCAAGAAACTGCTTTGTCCCTCAGCTGCTCTATGGCTGTGCAATACCCACTGGCCCAACACGTGTAGGAAGGAGTCTTTTACACCAAAATTTCCCAGCCTGATTTTCCCAGAGGGGCAACTGAACGGTCAGTGTTGGCACAGCAATTCCAGACACACCAGTGCTGCTGACCCTGGGAGAACAGGCAGCGCCGGGCAGCCCAGGCAACTCTCCCTCCCTCCTGGAGCAGCCATGAGCCACGCACCTGGAAACACCTGGAGCTCTCGGAGTGCTTGGTCTTACATGGAGCAGGGAAGCCTTATAATCATCTGATTTAGAAAGAAAAGTCACACGATGTAAACAAGATTTCCGCTTCAACATCTAACAATGTATGTTTTAACATCTTCCTCTGACAATGCATTTGTACAAATTAGCTAGTACGCATTCAGCAGACCAGGACGCTCGCACTCCAGCGGCCGCAGGAAGCAGGTGCCGTATGGACAGAGCATCTTTATCTGGGTACCAAGCGAAGGATGATTGATCTGCGGGTTCCAGAAATAGTTACAAAGCCGGGAACGGAAGAACAGGCAAGAACCAAATGTGAGTGGGAAGGGAAATTCAGATTAGATTCTGGAAGACAATAAGAAGTCTGAACCAAGAATGAACTTCTTGTGGGGAGGTGGCAGTTAAACCACATTTGTCTCCTGGACAGTATGACATTCTTCACTGCCATGCCAAAGCTGCAGGAAGGAAAAAAAAATCCTCCGGTTTCTACTCCACTCTACAGCCTGGGAAAGGGTTTGGACACGGCATGGGCTAGACAGCAGAGCAGACAAAAATCAGCTTTTACCCAGGGCCTCAGTTCCTGAGGTGCAGAACGGGATAGCTCTTCTTTCCGGTTCCATGGAGAAAGCAAGAATGAAAACAACCGAGGTGGACCTGGACCAAGGGATGTTAGTCAAGCCCTCGCTGCCTGCCAGCGGATCCCTGACAGGTTGAAGTGCAGCCACTTAGGATCCCCCTCCCTTTTGCCACACCGAAAGTTAGCTGCGCATTTTGGACACGGAAAACTTAGTCAACAGCTGGGTTGGAAAGAGGGTTCCCTGGGAGGCAGCTCCCCATCTCCCGCAAACACCCTCTGCAACCAACCACACGGATTTACCTGCGCTTTCTGAAGCCGTCTGAGCTCAGACAATAATTTATACGACCCAAATCTCATGTATTGGACTTGTTTAATGAAAAAATGTCATAACAAAATGAAACGGTTTATTTTGCTTTTAATTATGTAAGCCCGATGAAGAGTGCAGTGTTTCCCACCAGGCAGCAAGCTGTTCTGAGCAGACAACTTGAGAAAAATCAGATCTGTCAGATCAAACGGGATCAAAACCAGGTGACAATTCTGGTGACACAGACTAGTAGAGTTAAAGGGAACAACTTCCATTTGCAAAAAAAGTTGCCATGTCAGCAGCTGCCACTCAAGGACCATTTATAGCAGAATCAGTTTTTATTCTCGCTCCTTTTAGAGCACTACATCGCCAGCAAAGGAATGTCTGGAGCCAGGGAGCACTTGCCCGTGCTCAGAACCCGGTTCTCCCTGTCTGATACTTCCCCTCCCGATCCTAACACGCGTTAAATGGATTTAACTATAGAATACACGATTCAAAAAATGGTATTAAGGAGAGAGAATTGCCACTTCCTTAACTAGTTCCTGTAAACAATTTATTTTGAAGTCTTCCATATTTTAAGTAGGGACAAGCCGGAACACATCAGAACACACAGTAATCAGAAATATAGGGTGAGCAAGCTTATTCTGCTCTCACAAAGATTTGCTATGCCCCACTAGCAAACTGCCTGGAAGTTAAAGCTCTGCCTCTCTCCCTCTCCGAGCTCCAGAACCATTCAATCTCCCGCCCTAAAATGCAAAGCAGAATGGGAAATGTGAGCAGTGTATCACACTGTGTGCATTATTTTAAGTATCTATTAAATGCACGTAGGTCGTGGGGAGTTAGAACCGTGAAAGCAAAACTTTGATCTTTTGAAAAACAATAACGCAGGGTGTGGAGGTTGCTGCAATTAATTACGACTCTGAATGTACTAATCAATGACATTTGACACTTGCAGCTTTTAGAATAGTAAGAATCCATATCTAAGGAGCTCAAATGTAAATTAGAAATGCTAATTATGATGACCAGAAACCAGAGCAAGCCATGGAGATCTGTATGGCAAGCAGGTGCGCCATTTGTTCAATGTTTATAGAACATAACTGCGTTTTCTGGACTTTACTTTTCTGGGAGGGTGGGGGTGGTAAGTAAGTTACGAAAAAAGACAAGCGGTTAGTAGTGAAAAGAAAAAAGTAGTTGTAAGAACTGATTTGAAGGAGAAGAAAAATGTTTAGCCCTGAGGGGATGCTGATATTTCAATCAACAAGCGAAGTATAAGGTAGCAGTAAGAAAAATGCACTAGGCAAACCAGAAAGATCACCAAGGCTGGAAAAGTAAATACACTGAATTTCTATATTTAGGGAGCTGACATTTTTGCTCCTGAACAGATGACCAAAGCTGTTGCTAGTTCAAAGCTGTTGCTGAGCGCAGTATCCATAGCAGTACTACCTGTGACCTCAGGCCACCGGCCTGGGCATCCCACAGTAGCTCCAGAGGACAAACAGATGGCATAAAGAGCAAAAACTCGGATCCCTGCCCTGCCAAGTCAATTTTGCCATGGACTTCCAGATCAGACCGAGGAGGTGGGAGGGGAGGAGAAACTCAATCACTGGCCTGCAGGTAAGAATCGGGGCATGCACTTGCTCCCCCGGCTCCCAGCTCGCAGCAGCGGGGAGCTGACCCCGCGCCCGTCTTCCCTGGTCTTTACAACTGCTGTTCGTTCCCCTCTACAGGCACGCGGCCTTTCGCCTCGCTGCACCGCGGGTCTCACCCTTGCTCTTGCAGCACCCTGCCCTTCCCCGCGCCACACGTTCCCACCTTCTCCGCTGGATTCCACACGCCCCACACAACCATTTCAGACCATTACGGCTTTCAAAGATAGTCAACTTTCCAAACACAACAAGCAGCCAGTGCATTCCCAGGGCACGTGAAGGGCACTTCCACACCCACATGTTCTCTCGGAGAATATCAAGCACCACCCTAGACAACATCACTGCTTATCACGCTCACATGTATCACACCTAAAACCCTTTCTCTCTATCTGCTGCTGTACAGAGCTCTGCTGGCTTCTGCAGTCCTCCACGCCAACAGATGTCCAAGCAGAAGCCTCTCGAGCACCATCTGTTCCACCTTGAAACGCGTGCCGCAGGCAGGCACCGGGCAGGTCCTGCAGAAGCTCTGCACCTCCCTTCATCACTGAGCCCCTTTCTCAGGCAGTGGTAAACACTAGAGGACTCGGGAAAACAGGCAAGGATCTCTACACTGAGCAGGTGTGGGACGCTCCGGTCCCATCCTAACGCTTCTTCAACGGTCAGAATGCTTAAATCTGCAGACATGACGTTTTCAGTCCTTCTCTTCCTAAATTTGGTAAGTTTACCAGTTAAAGCCTTGAACGTTCTGATCCAGACAAAAGCCCACATACGCTCTTTTTTATAACGTTCCCTCATTCTTGACCTCAACATCTTCCAGTGTCAGTGAATTCCATGGCCCAATTATGCATTGTATGAAAATAATCCTTGCATCTCTTTCGCAACTTTTAACTTCACTGAATGTCCCTCTTCCTATGTTACAACACAGAAGAAGGGAGAGCTCACGGTTTGCCTCCTCTGTGGCACTATTGTATATACATTTTTTTTTCCCCTCCTCTCTTACTCATCTCTTTTTCCAGGTAACAATCCTCATCTCCTCAATCTTTTGCCACATACTCATTTTCCAAAGCTCCGGGTGGTTGTCCTGCAACGCAGTACGCAGACCCAGGCTTTCTGGTTGCCACTAAAACATGGACGAAGTTTTGCTAAAGTAAACACGCCCTGGAGGAACCGACTGGCAATGAGTGCTTAAGCAGGGATTTCCTGCCACTCCCGAGGGTGGGAGTCCCAGGGAAAGCAGCCCCCGTCCCTGGGAAGGACGGGAGCAGAGCCCAGCACCAGCGGGGCACATCACCTCCTCGTGCCCCTTCCACCCCAGCAAAAGCTCCACCCTTTCTTCTCCCCTAACTCACTGCGCGGCTTTCCCCCTCTGCTTCCCACTCTCTCAACTCCCACCTTGGCGTCCTCCTCAAAACACGCACCTCCTGGGCGTTTTATCCTATTTCAGCCCCTCTCACATAACGTTCCAATGAAGGGGTCTTTCGCAAAGCAGGCTGAAGCATTTCTCTCCCCTG